GGTGCCCGGCGGGGACCCAGCAGTCAGGAGCCGGGGCCTCACCGGCTGCGCCAAGCTGGCACCTCGGCCTGAGCCAACAGATTGCTCGTCCTCCTCGGGGGAAGCTAGGAAAACAGTGCTAAGCCTTGCAAGCTGCCGCCCATTAATGCCTCTTAGCTTGCAAGAAGGGTTACTTGCTCCTGGCGCAGCCCTCCCCGCTGGGCTTCTCACTTTCTCCTCCCACCCCTCCTCCCCTGCTGTCTCTCTCCCTCCAGGCACCGCCTTATTCTCCCCCACCCCACCCCCGTCTTCGCCCTTTCTCCCCGCTCCCTGCCTTGGGTCTCCCGTTCTTTTATTTTCCTTCTTCCCTCTAACCTCCTTTGTCTTCCTCCTTTCCACCTCCCCTCGGTTTTCCTTGGTTCAGTTCCTCACTGCTTCCCCGTCCTCACTGGCTTCGGTCCTCCGTGGCTCCTCGCGTTGCTCTCCAGTCCCCCAGCTCAGATTCTGCCAGGAAGCTCGGGCTTGCCTCTCCTCTTCCCGGGTCGGGGGATGTTGGTGCCCGAGCCCCTAGGCCAGCTTTCGACACCTACCTTTTGCAAACCTCTGTGCTCCCCCTTGCGCACTTGGTCTCTCTTGCGCACCTCTTCTCTCCCCGCCCCCCAGTCTTCTTCTCGGACTTGGATCCCGTGAGGCCTCCTCCCCAGAGCCTTAGGATAGTGCCCAGCCCCCAGGCCAGGACTCCTGGGCTGGCGCGGGGCCCAAGGTTGCCAACCTTTGTGACACCTGGCTCCTTGTCCTCCCTTCCCGCCTCTTCCGGAGCCTGGCACCTCCCTCGGCGCCTTCTTCCCCCAGGACTCAGTTCCTAGCCCCGCCCCTACAACCTTCATCCAACCTGTCCTTCTTTATTGTCCCCCTTTCTTCTGAAAACCCAAAATAGATCTCAAGCCTAAATATAATTCCAACCCGTGATCGATTCCTGGGGCGCTGTCTCCTCTCGGTGCAGGTCGATCTGTGTCTCAGTAACTCCGGCTGGCTTCCACCTCAAGGGGCCCTGAGACCAGGTCACCAGTGACCACAGACCGCGCAGTTTGGTTGCATTGTCTCCTATCCCTTCCTTCTGCTCTCTAGCCTGGACTGTAAGCACGTTGAAGGCAGGCACTGTGTTTGATTTATCCTTGTTTCCACTCCCTCACCATCTTCTGGCAAATAATCAAGTTAAAATGCTTGTTGGATTGCCTGGAGCTTGGTGTTCTCTAATGACCTCCCAGAGTCTCTAATTTATAAGGGGGGGGGCGGGTAGTGGTCCTGGGGTGTAGGGCTTCTAGGTTCCTCAACTGGAAAAAAAAAAATAGCAAGCTTTGAGAAACCTAAGAGGTGGAGGCACAGTTCTCTGAAAAAAACGGCACCTCCCAAAGGGAGTCTAACTCCCTCCTTTCTTTATGCCCAGATGGGAACAAGCCCCGCCCGGAGAGAGGCGTGGTGGAAAGGGTCAGACGTCCAGCTGGGACTGAAAGGAGTTGAGGAGCACCCAGTGCACCAACTCAGTGAAAGCCTCAACCCAGCTGTGGCCTGTGACCTGTGAAGGGGCCCTCCTCATTTCCATTTTTCAGGACCAAATCTTGCAAAATAAACTCAAATAACGGAATAACCAAGTTGTGGCAAATGATGGAGCATTTGGGAGCTGATCTATATTTAACCTTTTATTGTGAATAGATGTAATCTTACCTAGCATCAGATATTTGGAATTACAATAGGTAGGTATGCATCCCAGACCCAAACATTTGTCCCTTTCCTGATAGGAAGGTACCAGCTACTTAGCTGCTGTGGCTCCTAGTGGGTATCTGGATATTTAGGAAAATGCATAGCAAAATTGACCCCTGTTTAATTACTCATAATTTAAATACACCCCCCACCCCACGCTCCACCCCCCAGGAATTAGAGAGAAGAAGGACTTCACAGTATAAAAAAGGTGGTACAGCAAATGGTCACTCCAACCTCTGGGGTACAAGGAATACCCCTTGCCTTCACTTTATTGAAAGGGTCATTATGAGGGGGGTATCACATCTGTTTTTGAAAAATAAAATAAAGTGTGCGTTATTGCAGAGGATAAGGATATTTCCAAGGTTTGCAGCAGCTAAAATGTCACTGAGCCTGGCCCCGAACTCTTTCATGGCCCTCCTCGGACCCTTAACTGCCCTGGCCTTTTAATACATGTAGACCAAGAAAGAGGGACACAACAACAACAACAAAACACATGGAGGGTGACTACCCTAAACCTAGCAAATTACTATAAACTCAACAGTCACTAGATGCCCAGAACACGTTCTTCTTGGGCAAAGTCATTGGCAGGAAACAAAATATCCTCTCACTCTTTTTCCCAGAAAGAGGAAGGGGGCCCAGTGCTCCCTTGCCTGCACTCCAGCTTTCTTGATGTGTACTTGAGGCGGGTAATATCAGGGGAAATGGACAATATAGGTGAGAGACTTTCCTTTTAGGCAAATGTATCATTACCTAAGCCTCCCCTGAAACCAAAACTATTCTTTGTAGGGTACTGGGCAGGCCTCTCATTCAGAAGCAAAGACTGAGGAAGACTGCTCCAAACAGGGGGGAATTGGTAGCCGCTCTCGCTGCCCCTCGCCCTGGTTTCAGCGCGAGGATGAGCACGCCTCTGTGTCGGACTGGGCCTCCGCAGAATGATCCTCCTCTGCCCACTCCAGGCTACAGCGTCCCCTTGGGCGGCGCAGGCCCTGCCGAGGCCTGAGGGTGGGAGCCAGCAGGTGAGAATGCGCAAATTCGCGTCGCCACGGATCTCCCACCCCAGCAGCGCCCCCCGGAATAGGAGCCTAGCAGGCCAGAGAGGACACTTACGTGCACATGGTCTTGACGTTCGTCTTGTCGTCCAGGCCCTGCGGGTAGTTGGCCACGCTTTCGCCCAGCTTGAGCAAACAGTTTGAAAAGCCCTTAAAGACCTCATCGCACTTGCCCGCTGCTCTCACGGCCTGCACCAGGTACGCTGCGGGGAGGAGGGGACACCCGTCAGCAGCGCCCAGATCCCGCTCCGCAGCCCCCCCACCCCCCGCCCGCCCGTCTGCACCCAACTCGGCGCGGCTTGGCCCCTGTGCGCCAGAGTTAAAGGTGAATGAAAGATGCGATCCAGAATGAACGACCTGCACCCAGCTGGGCGCCTTCTGCAGGCTGTCGTGTCTGAAGGTGTGGGTGGCCCCGTAGTGAGGCTCTCCCTGTCCCGAAGCTCCTCCTGCATCTCGCTCTCTCTCTTTCCTGTTCCTACTGTCCACTCTTCTCACCTCCCTTTTCTCCTTTATGTTTCTCTTTCTACTCCCTCCCTCCTTGTTTCCCAACACTTCCCCAGCAAGCCGTCCTGGCTCTGAGAGCGCAGTCTTCCATTTCTGAGGTGACAGGGGGGGCTCACAGCAGAGAGCGGGGTGAGGAAGGGGTGGAGGTGACACAGCAAGGGGCCACGCAGTGGAACCTGACGCTACGCCACGTGAAAAGCCTGGCCGTGGCACCCAAGTCCTTGGTGGGCGCTCAGCAACACTGCTGAATAAATCACTGCTGAATGAATAAGTGAGTAAAATCTCTGGCAGCCACCAGCGGCCACCAGAACACCGTGCGGACTGTTTTCCCAGGGAGATCCTTCCTGCGCAGAGAGCAGCCTGGGCGCTTGGGGCTAGGCGAGGTGACAGTGGTCGGGGCAGTCTGGGCCCTGCAGAGTCATGAATGTGTCTGTGCGGGTGGCCCTGCGTCACCTCGGGGAGGCCAAATCCGTGAGCCTTGGGCCCCCCGCTTCCTCAGTTTTCCCCACACTCTTACCCCCCTGTTTCTCCCCGCCCCCCAATGGTCACCACTCTAGCCAGGAGCAGGGTGGGACCTTTCCTCTCCAGCTCAGTCAGGCGGCTGAGGGCCAGGGTGGCTGCCGCCGGGGGCTCCGGGCCTCCGGCTCGGACTCCCTCCAGAGTGGGGGCGGGGAAAGCGGCGGGCGGCGGGAGGAGACCCTGGTGCTGGAGGAGGAGGGGAGGAGACCCAGGCCGATCTGAGGTTCACGCTCTGGGCCTCGGGTCGGTCAAACCCTGCGGTGCGAGACCTGAGAGAGGCAGAGACAGGCTCCAGACCGCGGACGCGCTGCCTTGGCCATTTTTCTCCATCTCAAGGCCAAAGAACCCGGATAAACGTTGGATGGCGAAAGGCCAAAACCACTCAGGGCGCCAGGAGGTCGTGCAAGAAGCGCAGATCTTCGCTGTTGGAGCGAGGGGAGGGGAAAGAACAGGCGAATCTTCTCAGAATCGAAATTGGCCTAAAATGCCCAAGATCTTGAGCGCCGACCTCATCCTGGACAGTGTTCACGCCGCTGCGGCTAGAGTGTGAATGTCTCGGGGGAGGACCGTACCCCCATCCCCCTTCCCTGGCCGCTGGTCCCCTTGAGCCCCGCTAGACGCAGACCAGGGGGAAGGTGACCGAACCTGCAGCAGCCTGCGAGAGCACCGTTTGCAAATTGCTGCAGAAGCAAGGCGGGCCTTGCGCTCTCTAATCCGGAACGGGAAGCTCTGGGGAAGAGGCTAAGGTTAACTTCGATCTCGGCTCAGGCTATAGGTAAACCTTCACAGACAACCCCTGCCCCCGTCACGCGAAATATTAAAAGCCCATGAAACTGCAATACCAGGTAGAATACTGAGAGAGAATAAACGAATGTTGGTTTTCATAGGAACACGATCACAGTGAAACAAATCCTACCCGTTGTCCTCTATAATGCACGCCACAGATGCAGTTTTGCAGCGAAGAGACGAAATAAAATACACTCCATCCATTCCCACCAAATCCCCGGCTCTCCTTATCCTTTACCTCCACCCTCCAAACGCGATAGCAAAAAAGTAGCCCTTAAAACGTATTGACACAATTTTAAAGGGGAGCTGGGGTTTGCTGGGGGCGGGGAGCTCTCCGGTCACGTTATCTTTCCAGGCTCTGCCGGAGAAGACCCTCCATACCGCGCATGTGTGAGTATGTGCATGTGTAAAATAAGGAGTCGTGAACATTTCTTTTTTGGAAACTAGACTTCTTGGTTTCTAGCTGGCTGTGGGAGGCCGGGAGCTTGCGCTCGGGACGTATTTTGCAGGTGCAGGCATTCGTGCAGGTCGCAGTCCGCGCGACCCTCGCGGTGGTTTCTGAACCCGACTTCCGAGAGGCTAGGGCGGGCCGGCCAGGCTCCTTCCCCGGTCTCGGGTGTCAGCACCTTGTCTCCTTTCCACCCGTTCATTCATTCGTTTGACCTCTCATTCATTCCAAACTTCCTCCAGCCGGGTCTTAATTTGCGTTCACCACCCTTTCCTCCCCCTCATTCCCCAACCCCCACTTTTCTTGCCAAATGTCAATGATTTGGGAAAGCTCCCAGACATGAATTAATAAAGATCGAGAGGCTCTGGTGCGGGAAAGGGCAGACATTCGGGAACAAATTTGCTCAATTTCAATCCCACAGCCAACAAATGGTCATTTTCGGGCTGAGGTTAATGTGTTCCAAGCGCATCCCGCATGCACAATTGCTGTCTCCCCCCCCCTCCACCCCCCAAAACACACAGTAATGTTATTTTCCACCGGGAAAAGAGAGCACCAACATTCTCCGAATAAAATCCCCATATCAAAATAGGTGCTGCTGCCTACTCTCTAAAAATTTGCAGGCTAATTGCAAAATTCCACATTCACTTATTTCCAATATTTAAGGGATTGGCTGCAATTAGAAATATTCTTTATTTATTGCAGTTCTCTGCACTAATGTCAAAGATTCAAACAGCCAGATTCAAAACATCAAGTCATTTCTCAGAATTAAAGGAAAACGCCAACATCCTGCATCCCCACTCTCTAAAATCCCTATAATGTTCATGCAAAAAATCAGATACTTAAAATCATGTCAAATGCATAAAATCCGCTGCAAATAATCCATTTTATTGTATAGATAACTCCAAACTCTGTTCCCTTCACATTTCTCATGAAGAAAAATATTATTAATTTTATCTCTTGCCCTAAACCAATTCCCTAAAGCTCCCCCCCCCCAATACTGCAAGGATTTGTCTGCAAAGAAATTTACAGCCTTGAAAATGATAGAAGTCAACAATATTCTGTCACCAGAAACCCCGTTTGAAGAGTTTCTATTTTTTTCTTGCCCATTCTCTTAATAATCAGCTTCACTTTCACTTTTAGGCCACCTTAATTAATACTCTGACCCGCATGAGAGAAGGGGGTTTTCTGGTACTCCCTTCCATAACTTCATTCTGGATGGAAAATGTGAACTTTTTAAAACCCCATGACAGCGGAACTAGGACTCAACATTCCTTAACATAAAATGGGGACTACATAAATCCATCTGTAATAACCCCAAACAAACAAATAAAAAATAACAAACACCCAACATAACATATTGCAAACACTTTTTAACCCTTTCCTGTATGTAAAATACAGATGCCTATGTGGAAAGGAACAGGCAAACATTCATAGAAAATTATATTTACATATATTTGGCGATATTCAACCTCCTCAATGATAAGCACATTAAAATACTACCCTGGGGTTCCACATCCTTCTCAATCTGACCCCCAGCCGGTCTGCAGTGCCCGGTGCAAATGCTGCAGCTAGGGTATGGGGGTGGGGTGGCAGGAGTATGACAAAGTTCTAAATGCAGCATTCTGGGCCCCGGAATATCTGCTTTCTGCACATAAACTTTCCAGTTCTAGCTGCCTAGCCATCTTGTTGCTGCAATCACCTTTCCACCCTTCAAAATAATACCTTGCCATATCGCAGGGACCAATGCATTGCCCCAGAACATATCAAACCTGGTCTAACCAAGAGAGGGAAGAAGAAGAAAAAAAAAATGGACGTGTTCTCGGTTAAAAATAGGAGAAAAATCCCCTCCTATATCGGCTGGTCGCTCACATTTCCTGGATAACATTGGGAAGTCTCTCCTTTTTTTTTTAGAAAAACCAACCCGGGACTTGCGAGTCCATAGGAACTGATGCCCCCACCCTTGGGGGTTTGGGGCTTCTCCGAACCCCGGGACGGCTGCGGGCCAGTCGGACCCTTTGATGCCTCGGGCTTGGCCGGCCGGCAGCCTCCTGCCACCGGCGCGAGTCTGGCTGGGCGGCCACTTACCTATTTGCACCGCGAGGATCAGTGAAATATATCTGCCGTTCAACTTAAGTCCCATCCTACGTTTAGTCAAACCATTTGCGACCGCAGACCTTTAAATAGTTAGTTTAGAGAACGCGGGGGAAAGCTGAAAAATAGGCATTGCCAACAAGTTCCAGGAGCGACGGAGACTTTCTGCACCGGGAAAGCAGAGGGAGGAGAGAGAGGGAGAGAAGGAAGAGAGAGAGGGAGCAGGAGAGGGAGGGAGGGAGAGAGAGAGACACACACACACACACAGAGAGAGACTGAAGGAGAGAGGGGGAAGAGCTGGGAATGGTTCACTCCATTAGGAGGGGGCGGAGGAAGTACAGCCGCACGCCCACGAGCAGGCCTGACGTGGGGGATGACACGGAATGATTTAAAAAAAAAATAGCGACACCTTGGTAGAAAATCGCCATTTATAGTCATCCGAAGCTGGAATTAATCAGATATCTCCAATTAATTTGCGACCCGAAGGAAATCTTGCTTGGGGTGACCAATTCCCCACCCCTGCGGGCATCCGCGTCTCCTCGCGGTTCCCGGGGCCCCCAACCCCGCCCCCTTGCAGCGCAGAGCCTGGGGAGCTCTCCTCCCTTCCCCGCCTGGAGCCAGGGAGTACCTGACGCGCCCACTCGATTGTTTCAACCTGCTCCCCCTTCTCCACCAGCTCCACAGTGAACCAACCCCCTCCCTACGATGCAGTAAGATTTAAAGGAGCGGGAGAGGGAAAGTAGCTAACAAGCTCGATTAATTCGAATCTCCGCGCCCCTCTGCCCCTTATCCGCAGCTTCCCCTGCACTTGCCTACCCTCTTTTTCTCCAACCCAGCGGCTGAGCTCCGGTCGCAGCCTGGAGCGCGTGAGCACACACTTACGCACAACCACGCGCACGCCCGGGAGCCCAACCGAGCACCCTCTGTGTCTGCCCGCACACGCCCAGGCCTCGGGGCTTGGTCAGCACCTGTGCGGGCCCTGAAATCTAGACAGTGTCCCCCTTGAACTTCACCGGCTCGGAAGGCCGAGCCCGCGAGAGAGACCTCTTCAAGACGCACAGCGACACCTGTTTTTGGAGGTGGGGAGAGCACGGAGGAAGGAGCCTCTGCAAAGACAATTTTCGAATACTAGAGATTTACTAATTTTCAGGGCAATAGGAAATTTCCGAAGGAATCTCTAGTATGCGGGCTTCGTTCGGATGCATCTCTTGGGATTGTTGGGCTCAGACACACATACACACACGTCCCTCACGTACGCACACGCACACGCACACGCAGACCCCACACACCTGCACTGTCTTTTGATGCTCGGGCACAAAGCCTGTGTAGACGCAGCCTACGCGGCAACAAAGTGCTCTGCCGCTGCGTCTGTGCTTTGTGCAAGGTGCTGTCCACGACAGCTTGAGCTGAGAATGAGAAATAAACAGGGCTGTTTCCTTTCTAAACGCGGTTAGGCTTTGGTTTCCTTCCATTCTTCAACACCAAGGAAAGCCTAAATCTAGCTTCTTTAATTAATGAAATGCTAAAGAAGGCGTCGGCCAACTTTAAGCCAGTTAAGAGAAAAAACACGAAAACGACTCTCCAAAATCTTCCACGAACGCACGAGAAAACAACCGGATATTAAATTATCAGTAGAGATGCAAACGGATTAAGGAGATAGCAAACCGAATTTACTTCTTCAGGCAGCCTGCCACCCGCGTGCCCATCTCCGGGTCGCCAGCTCCTTCAGCCCTGGGAGGCACATAGATAATGAACAGGATAGAAAGTGCAAAATAAAGGGGTGGGACAAGCTGTGGAGAGTGAGGCTAACGGGGAGCGCACGGACAGCAGCACTTTGCAGCGTGGAGCGTGTGCACAGGATGGGGACCCTCCCCCCAAGTCCCAAAAGAAGCCGCAGACCCAGAGGTGGGGGCCTGGGGCCCCAGCCGGGGGCGGAATCACGTAGCCCCACTTAGTGACGTCACCAGACCGGTGGGTGGGGCTGCGGGGGGCGAGGGGGGGGGCTCGCCTTTCCAGCAT